CCCGAATCCCGACCTGAAACCGAAATATGCCCAAAATTTTTATTAGTTTTCCTTACAGTAAATCTTAAATAAAGGTATCAAGTTCAATTTCTAATAGTTTGTTCACTATTAAATTATTCCTAACATTAAATCCAAATTAACTATATAACTATTAGGGTAGAATTTGTTCACTCCATTATATTCCTCAATCCTCACATAGCGTCGGGTATTATGAATTTCTTGATGATTATTGAGCACGTGATTTCGTCAATATGACGTATGGCACAGTTGTTTAAGCAATTTAATTGGGTAATGCTGGTTTCGGGATATCGGGATAGGTTTCGGAATATCAGAAGTTGTTTCGAGTTTCGGTAGAAGTTTAGGTTATGGGTTGAGTTTCGATTCGTATATACCAAAACCTGAAACATTCGGAAATGCTCTTAGGAGTTTCGATACCCATATTTAGTTTATTACTATATGTGAAACTGAATCTAATAGGAATAAACCGATTGGTAGCTATAAATTAATCCGTTGGTCTATAATACCATACATATATATTACATTATTTTACCAAATTTATAATATTTGACAATACATTTGATATGAATATTCACTAAGTATACTTGGCAAGTATAAAATAAAATAACTGATTTATTACGATTTATTAATAATAGAAATTATAAATGGAACTTCCTATTAATCGGTACTACTGCCATATAAGTTTTTGCCTTCCTTCTGCTGTTATTTTTATTGTTATTTGTTCCGATTGTAAAATTAGTAGGAATAAACCGGCTATAAATATTATGAATTGGAATTATACTATCACGAGACATTTCATAAAATTCATTAAGTTTTCAGAGTTCAATATTAACACTGCGGTCATCATCCTGTTCAGCTCGGCAGTAAAATCTAATTCGATGATCATTAACCGGTAGGTACCATTTGACGTAAGCAAGTTTGTGCGTTCTTTCACCAATAGTTGGAAGTCGCAATACATGCTCGAAATAAAATTGCACCATTCCTGGGTATAATTCAATCGATTCGTTATCTTGGGTAAATTTTGCTAAAATATAAGAATTTTTCTTATATCGAGGTGCTAGCGCGGATCTAAAAATTTCAGCTGCCACTTGAATTCTTCCGCATTGATTAATTATTGGTTGAACAACTACATACGAATTATTCTGTAAACCTCGACTGATCAGATTTGACATGGAGCCGAATTCAACATCCATCTTTTCACCATAAACTTCATTATAATAAGTAATCAACTGTTCATACAAATTGTCGGGTAAATCAACACGGTTTTTAATTGGACTTAATAAATTGTCCGGATAAATTTCACTGCCAGTGATCGTATCTTCTAATTCGCTGCAAAAAATCCATTTGAACTGCACCAATTCTTCTAATCTGAGGTCATCATATACCGCTAATGAACCAGTTGTTTGCCGAGGTTCAATTAACTTAAGACCATTAACAAGCTTCTGGTTGCCCGATTGAATTAAGATCATTGATTCTGCAATTCTGCACAATAATTCTTAGCAATTCCGGTTCAATATATCGTTTTGAATTGGGATAGGAATCTAAAGGGCAAATTTATGATATATTAATTAAAATCCGAGACATTCATTATTAAAATATTTACCTAAGATCCCATTCATTTGTTCAAACGAATAACACCAAAAAGAGTATATTGGACCATAGTCACGACAGCATTCGGCTATATGCAAAGAAAGGTGTATATTTGGTGTAATTAAATTTTCACCATAATGTTCTTCAATGAGTTGACCAATTTTGAGTAATCTGTTATGGGCCTCATTTATTTTATTGGTATTAATGATTCGGCAAACCAACAAGGAACAGGCTCTTACGAAATTTCCTAAAATTTCACGATCATTCACTGATAGCAAATCCCACATTA